TAGGAAGAGGAGGAGAAGAAGAGGAGGAAGAGGAGAGGAGAGGAGGAGGAGAGGAGGAAGAAGAAGATAGGAGGAGGAGGAGAAGAAGAAGAAGAGGAGCAGGAGGAGAAGGAGGAGGAATTGTGATCCTTAGAAATGATGCTGAGGACACATGGTCACAAACTGGCCAGTTCTGGTGGACTTGTGGAGGAGGAGGAGGAGGACTGTGGGATCCTTGGTGCTCTCTCAGCTTGGTGGTTTTCTTACAGACATTTCATTACCCAAATTAGGTAGTATCATTAATGCTACACGGGAGTGGGGTTTGCCCTCTGTTCATATACATGCAAACTTCACTCCCTTCTAGCATTGATGATGTTACCTCCTTGGGTCATGAAACATCTGCAAGAAAACAGCCAAGTTCAAAGAGCACCAAGGAAGCCTCGAAATTGGATGAGAGTAATAATGTCAGCGTTCTAGGAAACCTCCACTCCAACAAATAACTCTGAGGCAGTCATCCTCTCAAAAGTGCTGTTTATAATATGGCTAATATGGCTTCCAAAGCTGAAAAAATAACATGCAACTCTTTCTCTCTCTGTCCCCTCTCTTCCGTGTCTTACTTTCCCACCAACCCTCACACGTACACATCCCACTCCACCAAAGTCTACTGCTTTCTCTGAAAAATCCTGCCGCCCAGATGCTCCTTTCCCAAGACACCCAGGGATAGCTGGATGCTGCACTCAACACGGCCTTGACCGAAAGCTGTGCCTGGCAGCCTTGAAACACCCTCCTAAGGAGTTCCCGACCTATGTGGAGCCATCCAACGAGGAAATATGTGACGCCCTCAAGAAGGACCCTCAGGGATTTGAAGAGAGGTGAGATGCAGAAAGTGTCAACCATCTTCATTTTGTCATGAATTTCCGCTTTTTCAAGAGGCAACTGGACTTTCTTTGCTTTTCCTTGAGGAGGTATCGCTTCTCATCCAAGAAGCTTCTTCAGTTCTGACTGAATGGTGGAGAATGGAAGGATTTATACTCCTTGCAGTCATCTCATCCTTAGTACTCTTTCTGAGAGTCGTTGAGGCCACTTGGAGGTTTCTCTACGTCCGTAAGGACAGCTTCCGTTCTTCACCATTCAGTCAGAACTGAAGAAGCTTCTTGGATGAGAAGTGAAATATCTTCAAGGAAAAACAAAGGAAGTGCAGTTGCCTTTTGAAAAAGCACTTTGGGGACAACCATGAACTAAATGACTGAGAATCTCCAGACAACTTCTGCACATGTTGCAAATTAGTCCCAGGCCAAGAAAGTTTAATCTGAAAGTGTTGGTGCTGTTAGTTGCAAAGTCGTGTCCGACCAGTGATGGGATTAAAAAAAAAATTTATTACCGGTTCCGTGGGCATGGCTTGGTGGGTGTGGCAGGGGAAGGATAATGTAAAATCTCCATTCCATCCCCACACCAGGGGAATGTTACTACAAAATCTCCATTCCCTCCCCACCCCACTAACCTGCTTTCCAGCTCCGTTCTCCTGTGCAGGACAACCAAAGGAGACCCAGCCGATCAGCTGGGACTCAATGGGAGGCAGCGAATAGATGTGGGCGGGGCCAGTCAGAGGTGGGATTTGCCAATTCTCCGAACTACTCAAAATTTCCACTACCCGTTCTCCAGAACTGGTCAGAACCTGCTAAATACCACCTCTGTGTCCAACCCATTGAGACCCCATGGACAACATTCCTCCAGGCCTCCCTGTCCTCTACCATCCTCCGGAGTCCATTTAAGCTCACGCCTACTGCTTCAGTGACTCCATCCAGCCACCTCCTTCTCTGCCGTCCCCTTCTTCTTCTGCCCTAAACCGTTCCCAGCATTTGGCTCTTCTCCAGTGAGTCCTTCCTTCTCATTAGGTGGTATCTGAATATCCGAAGCTTGACTATCCCCATTCTTTCTGTGAGAAGAATGTATAAATTTATATAACTGTGTTGGAAATATTGTTTAGGGAATCACATGTTGAGTAATTCAGGTCTCCAAAAATGTTATTGATTTAACAGTCTCCAAATTCCTTAAAACTCATAACAAACATTAAAAAAAAAATAACTGAACACTTATTTCAGATTGTAAACACACACTGAAGCAAACACACAAACCTCAGTTAACACACTGTAAACATAATTATAACACTCTCCGTTCAAATGAAGAGACTCAATCCACATTGCTTGATTTAATCAACCCCATTTCCAGGATCAGCACATATACACACTCACACCTCTCAAGTTTCACTCTAAAATCAGAGCATACACACTTCCACACCCAAGACAAGCTTCCCTATAAACAATGTCTCTGTACCCATTTTCTCTGCAGCTGCCCCTAAAGGCAAAACTCTTTGCTTTTGGGAATATATAATTCTCCTTTCTTCACGGCTGTCAGGATTTCATTTGTTGGAAGAAAAAAATCTAGGTTCAATTCCAAGCCAGGAATAAAATGGAGGCTGATTGAAAAGAAAGATTCTGTTCTTCGGTGAACAGAACCAAGACATACACAGTGTCCAGTTTTGGGACAGCTGACCAAATGGAGTTGAGAGTGGGTGGGTTTTATACCTTCTGGATTCCTATGGGGTCATGTAGGGGTCATGGCTGGCTCTATAGGCAAAGCGGGGAAAGCAAATCCTAGGTGTTTGCCTGAGCTAATCTTATCAACTTTGGCTTGTTGCTTCTCTGGAGTTTCTGTCTGACCCAGTCTTTCTGAATGGATTACCAAATCTGCATTTCTAAAAGCTGGCCTCCTCAGTTTCTGCTTGGGGCAGGGAGGCTGGTGTGGTCTCTGCCTTCCTTAAGATTTTCCCCCATTTCTGCTTCAGGGGAAATATTCTATACCGATTTTTTTAATATTCCCCCCAAAATATTTCATTCTCTAGGAGGGTGGGTGCTAACTTTCTACACATTTCTATTTATTCTTATGCAATCCCGGCTTGAATTGGAACCCCAAATTATTTTTTTTATTTATTTATTTTATAATTTGTCAGATGAAAACACAAATAACATAAAAATAAAACGACAGGGATGATAGGCACGTAAGTGCACATGCACGCCCCCTTTAGGGACCTCTTAAATATGAAGGGAGGTCCACAAAAGTCAATTTGTGACTAAAACTGTGGAAATTTGTAGCGGAGACAACTGAATCAGGCAGAGCCTTCCAGATTCTGACAATTCTATTACAAAAATCTGTATTTTTTACAATCAAGTTTAGAACAGTTTATGTTGAGTTTAAAACAGTTGTTTGCGCGCGTATTACTGCAATTAAAACAGGAAAAAAGTCATTTACAGGTAAAACATTACTACATACAATTTTGTATGCCATACCTAAGTCCTACCACAAGCGATGCAGTTCCAGGTTATCCAAACTAAGAATTTTGAGCCTTCTATTCTTCTGACATTACTTTTTCAGTCTGCTGTGTAGACCCGGGGCATGGCACAATGGCAACATAGTCAGATAAGCAACAAGAGTCCCTTTATTATATCCAACTTTGACCCCAATGTCCACGATACCTTCTGGCTGGAGGAAAACTCTCCCAGGAACAGCCTTTGATTGCAGAAAATTAAGTCCAAAATATGAGCAACACAAACTGTAACTTAAAGTCCAAAGAAGCCAAACTGAAGTAATTAGTTTGGCAGGGCAGGAGCAAGAATTTCAGACTTCAAAACTTACACAGTTGGGAAGACGGCAGTAACACAGATAAGCCACAACAATACAAGATAAAGTCACGTTTGCTCCCAGCAGCCTGCCACACGCAGCCTGCCTCTCTTATAAACTGTCTTCCCAGCTGTGGCTAATGAAGGGAATCAGGGCCCTTTCCTCCCCTGTAAGCCATGCAACCCACACTGCTCTCTTCTCCATTCTTCCCTGCATGCCCTAGGATGAAGAGTCGGTGGGCCTGAGTCTTCCTCTGAATTCCCTCTCCTTTGTTCTATCTCTTCCCTGCTCTGCCCAGCCAGACTTTGCCCTTCCCCAACCTCCTCCACAGCCAACGGAGCTACACTCCCACCCCCTGTCAGCTGTCTGGCTTCCACCTCAGATTCAGACTCTGACAGGGGCATGACATCTGCCTGGAAATGGAATGATAAATAGAAGTGTCCCTGGGGCCAGATTTGCTTTACAACCAGGTTGCTAACTTAACAACTGCAGCAATTCATTGAACAACAGTGGCAAGAAAGATTGTGAAATGGAGCAAAGCTCACTTAGCAAATAGTCCCCTTAGCAACAGAAATCTTAGGCTCAATTGTTGTCATAAGTCAAGGACTACCTGTATTTATCGGTATTTAGTCTTCCATGCTACTCCTTTATCTTCTTTTTTTATGGCCTGTCTTCTAGGTTTTTGGTTGACTATTCCAGTGACTACAGCTACGCTCCTCTGCCAATCTTGCTGAACTCTACAATAAGTTATTTATCCATCATTAGAACCTGCTGTGCCAGCATACAAAGTAACATCTGCTTCTTGAAAGAGGTTGGTGCATTCTTCCCCCTGCTCTTATCAGCTGCCCAATAAACTGTAATCATCTCATCTCCATTCCGGCCTCCCGTTGCATTCGAAAACCTATGGTTAGATCTCCGTCCTGCCAAAAGATTTTTCTATGTATGTTCAGGTGATTACTTGGCCAAGAGTGTCAAGCTGATCAAAGGTGACCCAAACAATAGCATATTTTTAAATAGAGATAGATGATAGATAGATAAATAGATAAATAGATAAATATAGATGATAGATAGATAGATAGATAGATAGATAGATAGATAGATAGATAGATAGATAGATAGATAGATAGATAGAAAGATAGAAAGATAGATAGACAGACGAGATGAGAGAGATTATAGGTAATGATAAATGATATAGATAGCTGGATAGATAGATAGATAGATAGATAGATAGATAGATAGATAGATAGATAGATAGATAGATAGATAGATAGATATAGATAATAGAAGACAGATGGGTGGATGGATAGATAGATAGATAGATAGATAGATAGATAGATAGATAGATAGATAGATAGATAGATAGATAGATAGATAGATAGATAGATAGATAGATAGATAGATGATGCATGCATACCAGTGGTGAGATTCAAAAAGTTTCACTACCGGTTCTGTGGGTGTGGCTTGGTGGGCATGACATGGCTTGGTAGGAGTGGCAGGGGAAGGATACTGCAAAATCCCCATTCCCTCCCCATCCCACTAACCTGCTTTCCAGCTCTGTTGTCCCGTGCAGGGCAACAAAAGAAGATCCAGCCGATCAGCTGGGACTCAGGAAGCAGAGAATAGATGGGGGCAGAGCCAGTCAGAGGTGGTACTTGCTGGTTCTCCGAACCACTCAAACTTTCCGCTAACGGTTCTCCAGAACTGGTCAGAAGCTGCTGAATGCCACCTCTGATACATACATATATTAGAGATTATAGATAATGATAGATAAATGATAGATATACGAGAGAGAGAGAGAAAGAGAATGAGAGAATGAGAGAATGAGAGAGAGAGAGAGAGAGAGAGAGAGAGA